TAACTTTGATGTCAACTCGGTTAGTGTTATTGCTGGGGACTGGCTGGCCAGGAATGCTATTCTCAGGCCCCTAGAAGATGCTGCGTCAGCCATTAATTTTGGGTTATAGGAGTTTGGAACGCAGGCAAGAACTGCCTCGAAATAACAGAGCTTTGCTGAGAAAACTGGGTGTTAAGATAACACAGAAACTAGTAGATCTAGTGAAATTTACTTTATATCAAGTTGTTAAGAGACTATTCAACTTGTCAGTTTATAAAATGGTCCCAGAAAGCGGTTAGGACCTACGAAGACCATTAATTGGAATCATCTATCACCTATAGACATCAGACTCCTTGATAAACAGAAGGAAAGAAAGAATGGTCAATTATCTAGCAAACTCAAAGGAGAAGAGACTACCCACCAATCGTAAAAGGTCTGTCAGAGCCATATAATAGCTCAGAAGGTGTTGTGCCAAGTGAAGAAACCCTGTGAAGAAATACAAAAATCTTTCCTAGGACTGAATGGGATCCCTGTTGGGAGGAGACTGGGAAGTTAAACACCAAGGACGCAAATCTCTAGCCAGAACTTTAGCCCTAAAGACCCCTAGAATACAGTGACAACCTATAATAATTAAAAATTCTAAAAACCAGTTTGGTTCCTCAGTAAGTTCAGATTTAGGAATCAAGGACTGTAGCTTTGATGAAAATGATGATCTACCTATCAACGAGTTCTGGTATGGATGCAAAAATGTTTGATCCATACCTAGTGTTCTAGCCTCGAAGAACTAGAAGCAAACAACACTAACAGTAACAACAGTAACAAGACTAACTTATGACACAGTAGGAGAAACCGGGGAAGCAGACATACATGGTAGCAAGACAGTAATACTGTTTGCCCAGCAATGTATATGCCTTACGTGGAATTGCTTATGGTAGCGTATGCCATATGTTACATGTGCTAATTATTGCTAGCATCTTGAATGTATAGCAGCTATATCTGTCTTAGTTCTACATAATTTTGTTGTTTGGGATATCCTCATCATCCTGTAAGATTTTACACACTCTAGTATTCCGCTTTCATCAATACTCTCCGCCTCTCTGATTGGCGAGTGAGGCCAGGAATTCCCAACGTCCGTTTGAGAAGAGAGTTCAGCTCAGACATCTCCTCGTTTCTCACTTGGCAGCAAATTATGATTTTCTGACTGACTCTGATTTCAATAACCAGTGATTTCCTCTCTAATAAGAAGTGGTTCATTTTATTATAGTGAATATTGCTCAAACTTGCTACATACTACATAGACCAATTCTTCTATAGGAGAAAGCATTTACAGATGTGAAATTTCTCAGTAGGTTTTAACATCTTTCATTTCTTGATCCCATGTGATATTTTCCAATGTAGTTTTTGTCATCTTCCTTATGCACTTTTTCGATGAAGTCATCAACTATTAATGAATGCATTGACTTAGTTTGCAGGCTCTTAGGTTCTCCATCTAATTTCTTCATTTCATCATCTACACCAGCTTTGTGTTGCATGAGGTACGATTATTTTAATATATCTGTCATTTATATAGGACTTTATGGTTTGTGAAGTGCTTTACATATATCATTTCATTTGATCCTCATAAATAGCCTATGAATTTGGTACTATTATTATCTTCATTTTATAGCTGAAGAAATTGAGGTTGAGAAGGTGGTGAAGCAACTTGTTCACAGTCATACAGCTTGTTAGTATCTGGGGCAGGATTTTACTACAAGTCTTCCTGACTCCAAAACCAGCACTCTATCTACTGCGACATACTTATACCTCCAAACCATCTTCATGGTAGCCTCTGTACCCAGTCTCATCACAAGCACTCCAAGATGAAATGACAAAGTATACCATCAGATTACATTTTTGCTAATTCTCATGATGAAATCAACTCTACTTTTTATTTTCCTGCCTTTCAAAGGAGACACCCTTATATTTAGCATAACTTTATTTATGTCTTCCATTTTCAGTTATAGGGAGAATAAGCAATATATATGTGATTTCTCCAACAACATATGAATTCATTGACCATTAAGGGAAAAAAACAATATTATGAGAATTGACAATTAAATTAATGTTTGCAAACATTTTAAGAACTAAGTAGTTTTGGGCACTTTCTAACTCCCTGCTTTCTGCCATTATCACTATAGAAATGGCAAGGAATGTATGTTGATTTTATGCACATATAAGTTTCTTGAGAGCAAGGACTTTTCTCTCTCTTTATATAGAATGAACCTAGCACACAGCTTTGTATGTAGTAAGCACTTAAAATAAATGTCAAACTGTGACTAATACAGAAATATTTTTACGTGATAGTACATATATAAACTATACCAAACTGCCTACCATTTCCAAAAGAGGGCAGGGAGGGAGGAAGATTTGGAACTCAAAATCTTGTAAAAATGAATGCTAAAAGTTTCCTTGACATGTAACTGGGGAAAAATAAAATACTATTTTCTAGAAAGAAAGAAAATAACAGTAAAAGAAAAAAAAGAACTGTTGAATAGAATTAAATTGAATTTATCTTTTTTTTTATCATGGTCAAATAATTCATCACCACATGTAACCTTCAGATGTTTAATGTTTCTATACTTAAAAAGCAGAACAATCTACAAATAGGTCTTTATATTTCTCTTCTCCTTTCTACCTTCTACCTACAGACCTTTATAACCCCCAATCTTATAAAACTATGCTAAGAAAGAATGGGAATCTAACGGAGTAGCCACAAATTGGGGAATGGATAAACAAGTTATTGTACATAAATGTGATGGAGTACTGTTGTACTGATCTGTTATCAGCAACAACCAACCAGGACTCCAAATGACTAATGATAAAATATGCTGCTCACCTCATGGTAGAAAGTGAAAAACTCAGAAGGAAAAATGAGACAATTTTTTTCAGAAATTTATTTTGATGGCCTATGCATATTTGCAATGGGTTTTCTTTTGTCAGTTAGGGGGAGTGGTGGAGTGGGAAAGTGAGAAAGAAGATTCTGACTGATTAAATAAATAAATAAATAAATATTTAAATGACATTAAATTACATTAATAAGAAAATAACAAATTGAATTAAATAAATAAAACAAAATATTTTTAATTAAAAAAATAATACCTTGCTAAGCTTTTGTATTTATTCCCATACCCCAGAAAGGAAACTATAAAGGCAACCCCCTCTGCACTGGACAAGTACAATCCAAATAACTCATATTAGGATGAGAGGGCAAAGTCCAGGCTTTACTCCTTTGCATCATGGGTCAGTCCTTGCCCTCTCCAGATCTAGGATCATGCACTTAATAGGAACTCTTTATGTTCCTACAGAAGACTGAAGCTCAGGAATTCACATCACACACAATGACTTTGACGGTTCTATTTGTGCTCTTTTATACACCCAGGCCAAAGGATGGTTTTTGCTCACAAAAGATTAAGCCAATCAAATCATCCTTAATAAGGCCCACTCTATACGTTTTTTTTGTACCCATGAAGGCATCCCTTGATATCAAAGTATTTTACTGAAAAAAAATCAGTGCATGGGAAAATAAGAAACAGTTATTTTTTGGGGATGTTTGCTCCCATTTAAGAGGCAGAATGGTAGTTCCTCAAACAAAATCAAAGCTCTAAACAAAAGCTATATTTTCTAAACCTTATCATGTTGAACAAACTCTCCTGTGATAAGAATTTTTCACTCCCTTTGCTTCAGTTAAAAATTGTAGTTCTTAAAAATCACAACAGGATGGCTAAGGTTCTGGCACTTCCTGTTGGTTGCACCATACACTATAGACTAAGAGAGATCTTAGTATAAGACTATAAGCATAAGAGAGTCCACAGTCAATAAGCACAATGAGGATGAGAGCAACACTATTCTGGTCTCACCAAGAATTCAGTCTGATAAACTGTCTATGTCTTGATAAATAAACTAGGTACACTCAGACCTAACATTTGTCGGTTACAACTTAAACCCTATAATGAATAGTATTACTATGGTGTCATAGGTAATACTATTACTTTATTATAATTGAAACATCAATGGAGTTGGAGTTGGAAGGCCCAGGATCTATTCCCAGTTCTTTTACTTACAAACTGCACAAACTTGCATGAGGAAAAACTTCGCTTGTTTCCTAACTTGTGAATTTAAAAAAAAAAAAAAAACTCATGTTTATATAACTACCTCACAAGATCATTCTGAAGAAAAAACTTTGTAGTCTAGAAAGTTGTATATACATAATGATAATAGCTGGCATTTTATATGACTTAAAAACGTGCAACATGATTTGTGATTCAGACATCTCATTTCCCACCCTGCTACATTCATTTGGGACTTCATTGACTTCTCTATCATGCCCAATGATGGGAACCTTCTCCCTGAGTCCTCTCACTTTTCAGTTTCCTTTTGCGTATTGTCTTCCCCCATTAGATGGTAAACTTCTCGAGGACAGGAGGCTTCTTTTTTCATTTTGCATCCCGAGTGCTTAGCACAATGCCTAGCACATAGTAAGTGCTTACTAAACGTTTTTTGACTATTGACTGTGCATTATTTTATTTGGACTTCACTACAACCCAGTGAGTTACATGCTACCAGTATTATTAACCCCATTTTACAGATGAGGTAATAGAGGCTCAGAGAGGATAAACAATTTGCCCATAGTCCCATAGCCAGTAAAGATTAAAGATGGAATTTGTTTCCAGTTCTACCTAATTCCAAGTCCAGAAATCTGTTTATAACATAGAGAGAGGATATGTTTACTGAAAGGATCAGTGTGGCCATCAAATCTCTGAACCACAAGCATGTAACCATTTCATATAAACCAAGGAGAACTGAATAAGGGATAATGATATAAGTGGATGTTATACATAAATCCATAAAAGTAGCCTACTCACTTTCCGAAAACAGTAATCTAAAGGAAGGGGTTGCAGAGTCTCCGCCAAAATAAGACATAATGGTATAATTGTCTGCTCACCCCTAAGGAGAGGTCAAATTGCAGTAGCTCAATCACATACCAATTTCAGCAGGAAGATGTGTGATTTGGTTTTTTGGCAAATCCAGAATCCTCATTGCCTGAAAGAGCTGAATATAAGTAGGAATAGTCTGAATCAGAGTATTTTCTATGTGCCATTCTTTCAGATGGGTCTGTTCCCGTAGGAAATCTGGGAATTCCTAAAATGGAACAAAATTATATGAATCAGAACTATCAAGGGAGTAATTTGGTGCTCATTGACAATGATACATACACATACACAGATACATATATACATACACATGACAATATATACCATGGTCAAATAAAACAGTATGTTACCAAAAGGGTTAGCTATTAAACTTTTATCTACATAGCCATTTACCAAATAAAGCATGAGAGGATCATAGACGCCATTTACTTTAGTTTCAAAGATTTGTCCACTTTTAAAAATGCAATGAAGAGACAATAGTTTTTGAAAATCAGCTGCTTGGTAAAACAAAGAAAGAATGGTTTTTTTTTTTTGAGTGGGAGAAGAGGGAGATACTGTAGAGTCCTTAACTTACATTAAGGCAATTTAATACTTTTAATGATTTTTACACCTTTTCCCTTAATTATATTCATAAGTTACCAATGAAGCTTCTATAATTTCACTGCATTTTTCTCAATGGTATACACATGATAGATGTCCCTATTGGCCTATGTGAAAATAGCTCCAAACAGCAGAAAGAGGTTGACTTTATAAGATACTTATTAAGAACATTAGAGAGTCAAGTCATCTGTGCTTTAATCCTAGAGCATGACTAATTAACTGGGTAACCTAGAGCAAGTTGTTTTATGTGGAGACCACTGAGACCAAGGAGGGCCATTAATGTTTGCACCTGGGAATCAACCAAAATGACTAATACCACCTCTTCTTCTCCTACTCCCTGTGTTGGTGAATCACCAACTGCCTAAATATAAACCAGATCCTTCCTCAAACCCCTAGTTCCCGTTCTTTTATACTGATTCAGCACAACTGTACCCATTCCATGTCTCACTTCAGCCTCTTCTACTGTGCCCTCTGGAATTCTGTTCCATAATTAACCTTCATTTTAGTCTTCTTCCTGTAAGACTTCTTCCATTTACTCACACTGTTAGGGATTTGTCTCCCCCAGATGTAACTGTAGCCCTAGCCACCTCTCTACCACTGACTGCCCTTTGTATAATGCTCCCCAACATACTGATCCTGGAAGAGGAGTTGTTATGCTTGTTGCTCCCCTATGCCATTTCCAGAATATCTCTTTATTGCCACCACTCCACATCTTCTATATGTCATTCCATTCAAACTACTCAATCAATATCCTAGTAGCAATTTTTAATTGCCCCCCACCCAGGGAATTCTCCCTGCTTTCATAAGAAATTTAGTACTTCCCTTATAGTCTTCTTCTCTACTTTAATTTTTGTCCTTTTACTGGAGACATCATGTTGATGCCTCCTCAAACATTCTAACCCCTCCACTCAACCTCAGTTACAGACAAGGAGGGCCACATCCTTGCTCCCATCATCATTCACAAAGTGTTACACTTCAATGGGCAAAAACTTTGAAGTACTTTTATCAAACCATAAGCTCCAATCATTCTCTCTCTCCCTAAGTTTTATCCCCCTTAAACCTATTATGTGTTCTCAAAATAACCTGCAATCTCTATTCCCCTCAGCTCTTTCACAATCTATCATTCCTGCTCGAACCTCATTTTTCATCCTTCTGAATCTGAACTCGATAGTTAACCAGTTCAACTCTATGGTATTCTATGCTCTTGAATCCTTTGTTTCCCCTAAACCCTCAACTTCTCTAAGCTGATACCTTGTCATACTCCAACCTTGGATTATTCCAACCCTCTTCTCCTTCTGTTCCTACTCATGTGCTGCTAAATGGAAGAAATCACAAAACCAAACTGAATCCACTACAAATTTATGGCATACAACCCTTTTGGAGGGAAAGGACTCATGGATGATAGCATCATTTTTGTTGTAATAAAGAACTAGAAACAAAGCCGGTGCCCATCGACTGTGGAATGGTTGGACAAACTATGTCAATAAGAAATGATGAAAATCTAGGAGGACTTTTATGAACTGTTGTAAAGTCAAGCAAGCAGAACCAGTGGAGCAATTCATGCAGTGTTTATAACATTATAAAGGAAAACAGCTACATGGTACAGTGGTTAGAGTGCCAGGACTGGAGTCAGGAAGTCTTATCTTTCTGAGTTCAAATCTGCCTCAGATATTTACTACCTGTATGGCCCTAAGCAAGTCACTTAACCCTGTTTGCTTCAGTTTTGACATCTGCAAAATGAGCTGGAGAAGAAAATGGCAAACCACTTCAGTATCTTTGCCAAGAAAATCCCAAATGGAATCATGAAGAGTCAGACATGTCTGATAATCACTGAATAACAACAACAATGGAAAACAATTAAGAAATATTCAAGAACTATGATCAATGCAAAGATCAGTCACAAGCATAGAAAACTGATGATGTGTCCCATTTCTTTGCAAATAAATATAGAATCAGACATCAATTTTCAGACACAACTAATGTATACACTTGTTTTGTATGACAATATTTTTATAAGGCAGGGTTTTTATTTAGGGGAGAAGAAAGTTGAGATTGAGATAATGATATTTTAAAAAGGAAGGAAATTTGAGTGTCACTGGATCACTAAAAATAAAAGCAAGTAAAAGAAAGACAGAATTTCAAAAGGGGATACAAACAAGCAGGACAGTTTTGGAACTACCATGTTATATTTGAAATATATCGAACAAAATGCAAAATGAAGATTCATGTTTCATATTCAGTCCCCCTTTCTCTATTCTTTCTTGTATTGAAAAATGTTCATTTTTGTTGATCTTTTTCAAGTTCATAATGGTAAAAAGGAAAAATTAAGAACAGATTATCCTTTTTCCCTTCTTTAATTGATTTTCCCCACTTCCCATAGAGTCTATTTCAAACCTTCTCTTCCCTCCTCAATTCTCTCATACCATCTTCTTTCCTTTCCTTGTTAACCAAGAACCTCATTTTGTATTTTATTTAAAAAGTACATCCCATTCTACAGTTCATCTCTATGTCTTTACATCACTCCTTATTCTCTCTTTTACTCCAGTCCTTAGTGAAGTGACTCTTCTCCCCATGCCTCTAACTGTAACCTCTATTGCACCCCCTACCATTTTGTCCAGCAGATTTCCCTCCCAAATCATTCTTTCTCACCAACCTTCAATCTCTTCCTGTCCAGTAATTCCTCTCTTTTGTCTAGAAACACATCTATCCTGAAAAAGAGGTTCACAAGACCCTACATGAAGCTGTATGTCCTGTATCTCTTCCCACGTTTTCCTCCAAATTCCTTGAAAAAAGTTGTCTATACTCAGTGCCTCTACTTCCTCTCATCCCTTTCCATGTTCTGAAATTCTAATACTCTTCCATCTGACTGTGACCTTCTATCTTTTCATCTCTTCCTATGCCTTACTTCTCTTAAATCTATTCTTTCTCTTCCGTCCTTGTCTCCACTTTCTCTCTTCTCCCTCCTCCATTTGTAATCTGGTTTCTGACTTTACCTCTAAACTGAAACTGCTTTCTCCAAAGTTACAAATGATGTCTTAAATGACAAATATAATGGATTTTCCTCAGGCCTCAATTTTTCTCAAACTCTCTCCAGTATTTGATACTTTTGATCGTATTCTCCTCCTCTATATTCTCTCCTCTCAGTTTTTTTGTCATACTGATTGCTTCCTATCTATTGGCTCCTCATCCTCCTCTGCTGGTTCATCTTCCTTTGCATATGTTCTGTATGTTAGTGTACTATAAGACTGTTCCTTGCCTTCTTTTATTCTGCCTGTCTGTCTCTGTCTCTGTCTATCTCTGTCTCTCTCTTTGTCAATTACTCTTTTTCTATCCCTCTCTCTGTTCTGTCTCTCTGTCTCTGATTCTCTGTCTCTCTCCCTCTCTATCTCTCTCTTCCTCCCTCCCTCTCTTCCTTTTTCTCTTTCACACATACACATATACACATTTTTTTTTCTTATGGTAAACAAATCAACTTCCATAAACTTAATTATTATCTCTATGCAAATGACTCCAAGATCTGTATTTCTGGTCCGAGTGTCTTTTTCTTGAGATTTAATCATACATCTCCAACTACTTTTTACACATTTCACATTGGAAGTCCCATTGGCATCTCGAACTCAATATATTCAAAATTAATATAACTATCTGTACTGGTAAATGCTTAGTAACTGGCTCTCCAAAAAGAAAAAAATATTACGTGATATACTTTTAAATATAATCTGCATCAATAACATTTTGACCATAACTCTTATTAGTCTAGACAGTCAAGAAAACACACTAATCACTGATTTGTAGTATTTGTCAATTTCTGAAGTGTAAATGTTCACCTAGAAGATTTAACAACGGGCTCCTTTTAGCTGGCTCAAGTTTGATTTGAACTGGCTCAAGTACATTCCTGTTTTTTTTTTTACCCTTCCAAACACATTCCTCTTTCAAACTTCTCTATTTCTATTGAAGACACTACTATCTTTCTAGTCACCCAAGTTTGTAGCTATGATATTACTCTCACTCACCCCATATATCTAAGCTTTTGCCAAATCTTATATTTCCTACCTCCACAATATCTTTTGCATCTGACATCTCCTATGACCATGACCCTAACTCAGGGCCTAATCAATTCCTGCCTGGGCTACTGAAATAGACTTCTAATTATCTTCTGTGAATCAAGTCTCTACATTCTGAACTTATCTACCAAAGTATGCTTCCTAAAGTATAAGTCTAACCCTGTTGCTCCCTTACTTAATCAATTATGAGGGTTTTGTATCACCTCCAGGATCAACTCTAATGGGTTGAAAGAGTTAATGCAGACTCCAAGAAATAGTTTGTGCACAGGAAAAATCTGGATCAATAATTTTAATCTATAAACTTCAAAATTAATTTTCTTGGGCATTCATTTTATTACTGTTGAGTAAGTAACAAGGTCAGGGTCACTATCTTTCATTTTGACTATGTAGCTCTCTTAGCAAAAATATAACTCAAGCACCACCTCCTACAGGAAGTCTATTCTGATCCTTCTCCTCATTCTTAGTACCGTTGTCTCCATATTACTTTGCATATATTTTGTGCAGAATTAAAAGGATTGATCAGGGAGTCCTCTAACCAATTGAG